TGAACAGAGTGATAAAGATCTAAATACAAGGACGTGATTCATGACAGTTTGCTCTGACAGTTGAGTCCAGTCCTGGTTCTTGAGAGTCACTATCCTGCATGTGTTAGATGTTTGTCTGCTCCAGCACACCAGGTTTGAATCCATGGTTGGTTACCAGGTTTCTGTAGAACATGGAGAGATGATTGAACCATTGAGTCAGGTGTGTGAGAGCAGAGAAACATCTGAAACACGAGGGTCGTGGTTCTCGAGGACCAGGATCCCATTAGCATCTGTTTAAAAACGGCCATCTTGGTAAAATATTGGTCCTTTAAATTTGATAACAACAGCTGAAGCTGAACTATTTACTCATTTTTCTTATATTTTATTTGTGTGAGCTGCAGTTTAACTGATTTCCCGTGTTGTTTCGTTTCTCGTGTTTCTGGCTGCAGCACGTTCAGAGCTGTTTCCTGCTGTTTATCTTCTCGTCAGGGCTTTTAATTGCTAAACGAGGGTGTTCTGTAATCCAGCTCAGTCTTTTCCTTTTTTTAAACTCTCCTTACGAGCTCGTACGTCTCGCTCCTTCTCGTACGTGTGTGTGTGTGTGTAGTCTATGTACTGACATGTGTGTGTCCTTGAGTGTAACTATAGCAGCCAGTGTTTAGGCTATTAGAGTTGTCTATTTACAATCTGGAGTCTCCTATTGATTATGTCTGCCTTCTCTTTTTGTTTACACGATGGAAATAAATAACACATGTTGCTCTGACTCAACATCTTCTTCCTCCTCCCCCCCCCCCCCCCCCCCTTGCTCCCATTTCTCCTTCTTTAACAGTCACTGGTGTTGCCTCCCTTCTCTCTCTGTTTTAGATCTGAGCCAAGTAGAAGCAATTTCCGGAAAAAGGGAAATGCGCTGTTGCGTCGTTGCACATCTGTGATGGAAACTTGAGCCACGAAGCAAAAGATGATGAAGATTTACTTATAAAGATGCATATCGCCCGCCACGTTTCATGCCAGACATTTAGACTAAAATCCTCTTAGAGGATGCCAACAACAGAAATATGGCTCTCAGCACTAACTTGATAATTAGACACACAACTAACTATAAATGTGCACCCTAGCCACACAATAAAACGCACACACCAAAATACACAGCTATACATTTAATGCACAACGTTTAAAATACGCAGTCAGCCTCAAATACACAAACTTGACGCACTATAAACACACCAGAACTGTGCACGTCGAGCAGGAACGGTGAGAGCAAGAATGCAAGAAAGTGCAATGGAAGATGTGCCAGAAGTAAGCGGGTCCAAACGATGATATCTCTGACGCTGTTCTGGACCCTGCCAGGACGCCGGATCTGAGGGAGGACATCCCATAATCCCCTGCACTGTTCTCACCACCCGGGCCAAGTCCATCACATGTTTATAAGACTCGTGAGGCCCCAAGAACCGACTGAGGACACGCAAGACCGGAC